TTTTTAAGAATGTTTGTTTATACTTTTTTGGACTTGAACCAATTTATCTCTGAAAATATTTTGAAATTTTAGATATAAATTGGGACATTCTTCAATCTAGATCAAATTCGTTCACGGTACATTCTTATTCGTCATTAAGGGATTTGTTGACTTTACATTGTCTATTAATAGTGTTTTCTTCGATTTTTACAATAATTATGGTATATAGGCGGGATAAAGGGAAAAAAGATCTTTTATGTGTTGCCTCTTAAAGTGAGTTACATTACTTCAATATAAAATGATAAGATTTTCTTCCTATAGTGCAGTTTTATTCAGAACATGTCAGATATCTAAGTATTTGTAAGAAAAAGAGTCTAACTTATATATGTAGCAATAGTGAAAATAATGATAAATGAAACTATACTTTCAGAATCGATAGAATCGGACCTTTCAGATGGCAGATAATCTGATTCACTTGGTGCAAATAGTTCAGACTTTGTTTCATGGACATCCATTTTATCAAAAAAATATTTTTTTTAGCTCTAAACTTTAGCACGTGTCTTAAAATCGCACACAGCGATCAATTTCAGTTCTGAAACGAGTCAACAGAATATTCAGTATCGTATTTTTAATCATATCTCAATTTTTTCAAATGGAATGAGGTGTGGCTCATTAGCATATTTAGAAAAAGCATTTTGTTACGAATAATTTGGTACCACACACTTGGTATTTCGAGTCAAATTGTCGTTATGAACCGCAGGTTACTTCAAATAAACCATATGCGAAAATGTGAAAAGTTGACATATGATATGTCATTTTATTCAGAGTGTCATTTTCTGTCAATCAAAAGTTGTAGTCATTTCTGGTAAAACCGAAAGTGACCGAAAACAATGGAATTGTCAATCAATCCTAATTTATGTCATATACTAACATACCTAATCTCGTTTTTTTATTTCCAGGTTGAAGTTAGACTTTTTTAAACAGAATGCTATACTGGGTGCGTCTCAAAAGTGGCTCACCCCTATAACTTTTTAATTTTTTTAGATAAAACAACTATAGGGAAATTAAAACAACTTTCGTTCCACGTCATCAATGACACCATGCGTTGTCTTATGGAGTTTGCTGGTGGTTGTATTATGATGTGCAACCAAAGTTATTTTAATTTCCCTATAGTTGTTTTATCTAAAAAAATTAAAAAGTTATAGGGGTGAGCCACTTTTGAGACGCACTCGGTATACCGGGTATAATGGTAGTTACCCAAATTTGATATACTATTTATTGAATGAACCTTTTTTTATTGAATGTACCTCTTTGGGTATATTTAATATTGTATTGTATTTGTTGTATACAACATACAACAATAGTCACCAAAGCCACCTCGTCATTATGAAGAATAACATAAAAAAGTAACGATAATTGAAAAAATTGCAAAATGTTTGTAGCAAGTTCATTTTTCTCTAAAAAATTAACCAAGGCATGTGTCGGCATGAGTCAAAAAACAAAATATTCAGGAAACATGATTCTGACCGAAAATAATGTTTTAGGAAAATTTGTTCACGAACTTCTCACACAGGGTGTTATAAATATAATGTAAAAAATATTTGTTTCATTAACCCTGTATAATAAGTCAGATACTAAAGTTTATAATAAACTAAGTTTACCAATTAAAGTTGATATATTTATATACAGTTTGCTAAAAATTAACCAAGGCATGTGTCGGCATGAGTCAAAAAAACAAAATATTCAGGAAACATGATTCTGACCGAAAAATAACGTTTTAGGAAAATTTGTTCACGAACTTCTCACACAGGGTGTTATAAATATAATGTAAAAAATATTTATTTGATTAACCCTGTATAATAAGTCAGATACTAAAGTTTATAATAAACTAAGTTTACCAATTAAAATTGATATATTTATATACAGTTTGCTAAAAAATCAACTAAATAAAGCCAGCAATAAAGTAGGTCTCAAAAAGAATTTAGCAAAAACTAAAATAATGTACAGGGTGGGCCAAATTGGACGCTTTTAAAGGGAAACACCCTTTTCTATAAGCTCAATTTTTATCAACAACATGATGGTGAAAACCGCACATCGACATCTGTTACCGTTTCGGAGTTACGGGGTGTTTTTCAAAAATGTGCATTTTTAACAAATTGCTGTAACTTTTTAGCTATGGAAAATTTTCCAAAGCCCTTTTTTACGTAGAATTTAATGGTTTAAGTGTAATTTTTTTAAAATTAATAATTTAAGAGTTATCAATAGAATTTTTTTTTTATTTGGGACACCCTGTATATTTTTAATTAAATGAAAAGAACTTAAAATTACCTTTCCAAAAATATAGCACACTTGATATTTTGTTATAAACCCTTCAAAATACAGAATTTTTAAAAGTTCGCCACTTTTAACTAGTAGGCTTTGGATTTCTTATTGATGATCTGCCCCTAATGGAACTCGAAAACATATTTTTTTTAGCAAGTCGAGGCACCGCCCCAGAACGCTAAAGTAATCAGCAAATTTTTGCAGCCAATTTGGAGAATAATTAAACAGCTAACCAAAATATCCCAGGGACTTAGTGCCTATGGACTAATCATATGGATATCTTTGCGGAAGAATAAAGGTTCTTATTTTTAAATTGCCCGTATAATCTAGACAAGAATTAGAAGTACTTGCGAGGATATCTTTCACCCCCACTGAGTTAATGAATTTCGCGAGAAATGTTAATAACGGCCCATAAACGAACTAGTAGACAGAAAAGACACTCTTATAAATAACTCAAGAAAACCAAACCTGAGATGGGAACATAACCAAGTAACAAGATTCCGACTTCCGACTAGTTTTGACTACGAGCGACGTTGAAATTGGTACTTTTCCCTGCCCTATGCATACCCAAACCTCAAAATACGTAGCCAAAATGTCACTACGACGTTGCACTTAAACAGTTGTATATTTTGACCCTTAACAACGTTGGTAAACAACGTTGTAGGGCACAACGTTGTTAGAAGTGGGGTTTTATACTTTGTCATTACGTCGCCAGAAGGCATGTTTATTGTACTACAGAATAACAACGTTGTACAACGTTGTGCAACGTACTTTTAAATTACGAGTGTAAGTACATACTAACTACAACGTAATACAACGTTTCATTAAACGACCCAAAGCATCTTAAAAAATAATAACCAATTACTACGTTGGATTGCGGCGACGAGCGCGACGATATCGATTTTTGTTGTGGAAGCGGAACTATCTACACCTAACCTCAAAAAATTCTGTACTGTCACAGAGCAATTGGTTAGGTATTTTTTCTGTGGTACTTAGTACTTACTGTGTAAAGCTAAAAGAAGATGTATAGGAAAAAAGTATATAAATACTCTACAACTTTTTATAGAAAAAGGAAAAAGTATTTAGAAGAAAGTCGGCGAGCAAGTCAGTGTCCGAAAAATGAAGTGGAAATAACGAGTTTAGGTTCGTCATCCACATCCTCGCAATGTGCTACTAGTGGTAGCTTATCATCAATGGATACTATAGAAATAAATAAATAACAGTACACCTGAAGCCCATACAACGGAGGAATACTATGAGAATAATGATCCTCCAGAAGAGCAGTCAACTGAAATTCATCCTGACGTCCTTTCGACCAAAAAATAAAAACATTTTTTAGTCAGTGGAGTGTACAAAATAATATATCTGATTCAGCTGTAAACTAGCTTTTAAAAGGATTATCATCTTGTGGTATAAAAGAGCTGCCGATTGATGCACGTTGAATGGTAAGATCAACAATACTTCCTGTACGGCTTTTAAACAATAAATAAATAGAAATACTGATCTAATGTCAGCGATCTTATTAACGAGTATGTGACCACCACCACTAAAGGATGACCCAGCTTTCTTCTTTATTTTATTTTTCCTTGGTAAAAAAGAGCACTGTAAGAAGGAATTTTGTTATTTACCTCCTAGATGTCGGTAGGGTTCAGAGGACCTATTTCGTCAAAGCAGGTGTCAATTTCTGAACCAAAGGTTGGCATAGGTGACCCAAAGGTCGGTTACCGCACCTTATGCACTATATTGATATTTTAAAGGTTGCCTTAGGCAACTCCGCCATTTTAATACGATTTGTCTTTTCGTGCGTTGTGGACGAATCGAACAAAATATCAGAAGCCACAAAATACTGCGAATTTCGTTAAAAAACTTATCTGTTAGGGTTGTAACCTAATTTTCCTGATAGATTTCCTATATTTGTCTCAAATTTAAACAAAAAAAATAGGTTAACCAAGTAAACTATAATTTTAAAATTAAAACTAGGAAATAAAAAAGGGATTTTGCCATATTTCGAAGTATCATGGTCACTTTCAACAGTAAACTAATTTTCGTTGATTAATTTCAACTCATAACTTTGCAGATTTGTCGAAGTTAAATTCACCTAGTTATTTCTTAATGGAGCATAATATATTCCATTTCTAATACATACATCATTCATTTTGGTTTCCCCATGGTTGAATATAGTAATATTTGACGACGAATATTTTTAACTCTAACCCCAAAATATCGCGAATCAGCATGAAAAACAACTTTTAGCACACGACGTACTACGTCGCCTCAAACAACGTCGCCAACGTTGGCGATGTTGTAGCGACCCTAAAAACATCCACTATTTTGGTGCAAATATGGGTCGCTTAGACGTCGCTTCGACGTTGTCCGGCAACGTTGGGTTGCTCCTGGCGACGTTGTGATTACGTTGAACAACGTAATTTTGCTACTTGGGTATGGCTAAAATAAAAAATATATAACATTTTAAACTTGACCAAAATTTTTTTCCGTTGCGTTTTTTTGCATCTGAATGTATATTAAAAATATAGTACAGTTATTCATTGAAATATTTTGTATTCGAGCAATCACAAGGTGGCATGGCGTTTTATGTCTAAAGGGAATGCTTTGTGATTGGCGTTATGACAACGACACTATTCTACAATGACTGTTGGAAACTATGGAAACTACAAAAAAATAACATAAATTATCGCCATTTGACAATATGGAAAATGTATAAACATTATTTGTTCTAATTGATTGCAAACCCGGTCCTGTGTAGTTGGGGATTTAGATAAACACCGAAGTGACAACTAGCAACCGAATTTTCGGATTAATATGTGTAGAAAGATGATCATAGTGAAATTAATTTTGGTCGGCCTCGCTTATAGCCAGGGTAAGCACGTCAAATATAAATGATTTTAAGTATACTGTGTAATCAGTTATATCAATTTATATGAAAATTACATTTAATTTAAAATAGCCATTTCTCTTTTAAATATTTTTGTTTCTATTTTGTCATACAATATTTTTTTCAGCTCGGGCTTCAATTCAAGCCACAGAATGCCCTCTAGCGCTTTTTCCAAACATCGTCCCCAAAATAGGAGCTGTACTCCAAGGAGGACATGAAGCTGACATCAAATACCACACTTACCAAGCCTCCATCTTCCATTTGGACCAACAACTCTGCTCGGGCACCATATTAACCAAAAGTATCGTTTTGACAGCTGCGCACTGTGTTAATCCTATGATTTGGGTACTCCTAAGTCAGTACTCCGTTAGGGTGGGTTCAAATATCCTTCAAGAACCCGGACAATTGGTTGGAATTGAAAATTACATCGCTCACGAGAAGTACAAGCATGGTACCTCATTTGATTATGATATTGCGTTGGTTTTTACAAGGCAACCTTTGACACATCATTTTGCAAGACCAGTAGAGTTACCTTTCAAGAATGTGATTTACCACGCAGGTCAGTACGCTACAGTAACTGGTTATGGTACTGATACAAGCGAGATATCAATAATTAGACCTCTAGAAACTCTACATTCTATTAGAGTGCCGATCATAGAAAACCATATTTGTGAGTCCATGTTTAGACCAATGGGCGAGTTGGTGACGTCAAATTTCTGGTGTGCAGGAAAAGAAATTGAAGGTAGTAAAGATGTATGTCAAGGTTTTACTGGAGGTCCTGCAATTATTGATGGGTATTTGGCTGGTATAGTTTTATTTGGAGCTGATTGTGCCGATGTTGGGTATCCTGGTTTGTATCTTAGTGTTCCTAAGTTTGTGTATTGGATCAAGAAAATGGGAGGAATTAAAGAAAAAATACCTAGAGGTGATACATTGTAAAGTAAAAATATTACGAGTTATTTGTTGTTATATGTACTATCGTTTTCATATAGATAAATATTATGATGATGTGTACATTCTACGTTATAAATTAACTTCTTTAATACATTGTCATAATATTGAAGAGAGATTATCAATATAATTTATTATTGAAGAGATAGCAGAATACAATATTTTTTACCTCAACAACACTGAAAAAATATTGTTCATAATATTAATGAACATTTATTATTAACAGTTGTTTAATTTTGACAATTATTTTTTTCATTATATTAATGATTTGTTAATCATAGATTGATGCCTGATTTATTAATAGTATGAACCTAATTTCATCAATATAATGAAAATCTGGTTATTAAATTAATGTAAGATTTTCATTAATATAAAGAACGCCGTTCATTGTCCCAATGAATGCGTCCTTTATTTTAATGCTGAAACTTTAATGAACACATATTCATTATATTAATGTACTAAATCATTGATTAATGAGTTGTACATTGTGACAATGAACAATGTTATTAATACAAGGAACACACTACATTATATTAATGTACGCGGTTATATAGGCGACTGCCATAAGACTACCAATGACTGCCAGCGACTGCCAAGAAAATGTACAGGTAATTCCAATAGTGAGACACCCCTCGTTATTGACATTTTGAGAAAAATGCATTCTTCATAAAATATTCTGCTTGTTCTAAAATGGTTTAATCGAGTTTATACTTTTCCAAATTTCCATACCGTTTTAGAGAAAATTAAAAAAAACATAAAAATATGGTTAATTTTTTTCCAAGTCCTAAAAATCCAAGGGTGTTTCTATAGTAATATAATTTTGATTTGATTTTTTGACAAAACCGTTATTATCAGTTATTAATAATTTTTATTTACGTCATATTTTTTGCTGTTGTTAAAGTATCACCATTTTCCGATAACTATTATTATCCTTTCCGCAGCATTGAACCAAATAAACTTTGTGCTTTTTTAACATTTTAAAAGAGCAAAAAATATGACGTTAATCAAAATTCTATCAACAGTTATGTTTTAAAGAATAAAAACGAAATTATATTCCCATAAACGCCTTTTGGTTTTAAGACTTCTTTCTTTTAAGAAAAAATCAACTATAAAAATATTTTCACTTTTTTTTTTTAATTTTCTCTAAAACGGTATAAAAATTTGGAAAAGTATAAACAGAGTTAACCATTTTATATATAAATATATATAAAATACATATAAAAGACCCTACCATAACGTGGTATACTGATGCTTCCAAAACCAAAGCATGGACAGGGATAGGAGTATTTGGGCCGAAAACTACATACTCCGAACCAATGGGTACCTACCCCAGTATCCTTCAATCAAAAATTTACGCTATCGAAAGATAGGTACAATTTATCTTAGATAGGAACTATCGAAAACAGGAAATTGCCATCTTATCCGATAATCAAGCAGCACTAAACGCGATCAACTCAGTAACCATCAATTCGAAGTTGGTCAAAGAATGCCTAGATAAGCTCAACAAATTAGGCAAAGAAAATAAAGTCCTCCTACTCTAGGTGCCTGCTCACCAAGGGATAGAAGGCAATGAAAAAGCAAATGATCTAGTTAGGAAATGAGCGAACACTCCACTAACTGGACCAGAACCGATCTGTTTTCCAAACGGGAACCAACTGAAAGCGTTACTGAAGAATCTGGAAGACTCCATCCGTAACTTGGAATGGGTGTCCTCCAACGGTTTAAGACACTCGAGAAAAAGTTCCTCAAAACTTACGATCGAGAACAATCAGAGGTTTTCCTTGATTTAAGTAAAAACAATCTTCGGATTGTCACGGGGTTTCTAACAGGACACAGTCTCCTCAACGATCACCTCAGTAGGCTGAAGCTGAGAAACAATGGCGAATGCAGATTCTGTGGAGAAAATAGGGAAACACCAGAACACCTTATCACTGAGTGCGCCGAGACGACGACCATTCGTGCCATGAACTTTGGTACAGCTGATGTCGAGGATGGAGAGCTGGCCTCTGTGGAGCCGTCTCAGATACTAGCTTTCGTTAAAGCCTTGAGACTGTATGATGAGTTATAACTCGTTATAACTCAAGAAAGGGGAACACACAATAGATCTGTAAGGTCGCGATGATTAACTCCCCTCCTAAACATTCTACATTCTAACCGTTTTAGAACAAGCAAAAATTTGCACGAAGAATGCATTTGTTTCAAAATATCTATAATAAAAAAGTGTTTCCTCTCGTAAAGACAATCCGGGGACATACTGTACGGTAAAGATATATCATTCATTAAAATTGTTGTTAAGCATTGTTTCGAAAAATCAATACATTTGGGCACAGAATTTGAGATTTTAAATATCTATATATTTATTAAGTTAAATTTTATATAAAATGGTAAAAGTTAATTTACCTATTATAAATTCCTTCCCAAAAACAGAAAATAACCATGCCATCCACAATCAAGTATAGCTGTCTTAAAACAGGGCTTATCTCACCGACTGATTTCGATCTCGACCGAATCAATCAGCCTATCGGTTTCCTCGAATCTGGAACAAAAGCAAATCGAAAAAATCACTTTCTTTTGTTTCGAGGCTCCCATTCTTTTGTTTTCGGACAAAAATAAATTTTAAACAGTTTTTGTTTTTCATTTGTTTCCTTTTTCATTTTGTTTAATGGCGAATATTTTAATTGGAGGAGAGTTGGCATAGAAAAAAGTATTTTTTAGGATTCTTCGTAAATTAATTGGAGAATAGAGTACTAGCAAACCAAAAATGTCAGCTCTAGACAATAAATTTCGCTTTTATCATCGTTTTGGTATAAACTGGAAACATAACTCTACTGCATCAAGGAGAAACCAGTCTTCATATTACTTATTCTATCTAAAATTCCGTTTTTAATGGGCAATTTGTAATTTTAATATTTTAAAACGGCCTTTTTAACGAAAACCAAAGCCTAGTTGTATAAGAAGTAAAGTTAGTACATGGCGATGTTATAAATCCTGCGTATTTTCCTCGTTATCTTTGTGGTATGTTTTATTTATTTTATATCCATTTAGTAAATAGAAAAGTTGAGTTTGTTTATTTGTTTTTCTTTTCTGTTTATGATCTAAAAAAAACATCCTTATATTACCTCCAAAAAAGCAATATATTATAATGACAACAGGAAAATGAACGATGGCATGATAAACTGCAAAACCTATTAATTTTCCTAAATCTGAAGCGTTTTAATGAACTAAAACCTGCTCTAATAGGCCTGATCGGGAACACTTCTTGATAGCAGAAAGATAAATGAAAACCCTGTGACAGCCCGCTGAAAAATATAGATTAAATTTAGACTCCAGATGTCACACGATGTCACATTGTTTCTTTCTTTTTTTCCACAGGGCCAAAAACAATTTTTCACAATATGACGTCGACAACGAAACCCAATTTAACTAATTATACCCTGCGAAAGCGTAGGGCTATCGAATGGTCGTCTCTTTTGAATGCAGACGATGTTAGCGGATTACCCATTAAAAAAAGCGTTCAAAATCAAGGGTTTGAAATTTTTTTATTGTAAATATAGCATATAGCATAGAAAAGTCTCCACCGGGAGTATCAATCGCATGCAAATTTTAAACTGTCCAAATATTGGCTCCCTTATTGATTTTACAACGAACTAGTATATCGTTTTTTAAAGGTCGGGGTATACTAAGTACGCGTGCAAAATTCGAATAATTTTGAACAAGTGGATTTTAACTAATTTAAGAAAAACTGTATCCATTTTTAAATTAAGCAACGTTATAGCTTGTTTTAAAACGGTTAATCCCCTTTATTCTTTTTCAAATTTCAATACCGTTTTAGAGAAAAATACATAAATATCAGCTTCTCTAATATAATTTTGTTTATATTCTTTGACAGATGGTTAATATTAATTTTAATCAATGTCATATATTTTGCTATTTTGAAATAGCAAAAGGATCAGATTAAAGAAACACAAAATTTATAAATACTTTTTCCGTAGCATTGAACCAAATAAAATTTAACTTTAATATGTATATTAAAATATAAAAAATATCAAAAGATGACGTTAATCAAAATTAATAATAACAATCTATCATTGAATGAAAACATAAAACTGATATTACCATAGAAACGTGTTTTGATTTATAGAATATATATTTTTTTTATTTTTCCTAAAAAGGGCCCTACACGGAACAATATCGAGAGATTTGAAATTTGAAGTGTGAATTCCTTCGATTTAGTCCAAATCTCAACATTCTGAATATTACAGTTGAGGTTTGGAACCTTTGGTGTTACACAGCAAAATAAAAACACTAAATCACCACAATACACCAAAACACGTTTACTTTTACACTGGACGCGCGTTTCGCTAACCATGTTAGCATCATCAGCAGATGATTATAAACTGAACTAAACAGTTTATAATCATCTGCTGATGATGCTAACATGGTTAGCGAAACGCGCGTCCAGTGTAAAAGTAAAAGTGTTTTGGTGTATTGTGGTGATTTAGTGTTTTTATTTTTTATTCTGAATATGTTTAACTGCATAGATCACAAACGTGGCGGGAACTGTACTAGACTATAAATTGACAAAATTATCTTTGATAAAATGTGAACGTGTAATGTGAAAAGATCGCCATCGATTTGGTCTTGATCAAGATCTGATCTGTGCAATTTGGTATACAGATCATATAGTTGCATGTAGGGTCTCTTTAAGACGGTATAAAATTTAGTGATGGGAAAAACCGATTAATTTCAATAATGGATTACTCGAGTTTTAAGCGATTGCAATAATCGAGCGATAGCTCGAGCGAAATATCGCTCGTTTTTTGACCGTCGCTTGTTGTAAGTACTCGTTAACGCCAAGCGCCAAGCAGTTAGTTGCGTGCGTAGGGCACATATTCTTTCGGTGATGAATGGCAAGTTGCAAGCGATTCGCTTGATCCCTTGATTTAGTTTATTTCAAAGCATTGTCGATGTAGGTCGTAAAATTTTGTTCCTCAGATACGCAATGGATAACGTCGTATAAATTTGCTACCTGCAATGTATGTTGAAAATTGACTCGGCTTTTT